ATTCGAAGGGAGCATTGATTTGAGCCTTTTCCATGCGACACCAGCTTTTTCGCCTATGTTTCTTAAGCTCATAGCAAGTGAAACTGAGGGTGGATTGAACAAATGTGCTTCTACATGTATGCCTTCTTTTGCTAACGCTTTTCCTACTTGGAGAGCAAATCCAGCTCCGAGTGAGTGGCCTACGATACACACATTGTTGCTGCCATATTTGGTGGCAATTGATTTTAGCGCATTGAGGGCTGCATTGAATCTAACAGAACCTTTCAGACTTTCCCAAGCTAAGAAACGGAGATCATCTTCGATATCCCTTCTCATTGTTTGGCTTTTGAGAAGCGTTCCTCTTAAGGCTACGACAGCTCTTGGTGCACCACTCGGTCTGATGAGCATGAAATCAGACAATGCTGCAGATCTATCCCATTCTAAGATTGCACCGAAAATAGATCCATCTCTTTCGTCATTTAAGGTCTCGACTAACTTGTACTTGAAAGGTATCAACCATTTTGGAGCTAGTGCATTTTCTTCAGTCCTGTTTTCTTGTCTGTCGATCTCGAGAAGGTAAACTGCTTGAACAAAACAAGCCATTACTGTTCTTTTGTAGTTAGCATCCTTCCTGTTCATTCAAAATACTTATTTTGCATCATAATCAAATTGTCTAACAATTTTTACAGAAGAAAAGAACCATAACTTGATAATTAATGTCAGATCAGCAGCACTATGAGAAGGCTTTTGTTGCTCGGACTCTTCAAAAATGCCGCTTGGTGCGTCTGTGGTCCTCCAAGAGTAGTACATTTTTAGAGAGTCCGAGCAACATAGCAACATAGCAACATAGAGGAAACTAGTTTGCTGACATCTAGATAGTAGTTGCCCATTGAGAATGAAAAAGGATAACTCAAAAATATTTTAAAGGACAAAACCACAAGATATTAAGTGAATGATAATTCATCTTTTAGCAGTAGCTTTTACTAATAAATAACAAGTCAAGAGGATGTTGTAGATTCACCCAAAACAAACCTATTTCATACTCGGTATCAGTGCTAGTGCGAGGCAGAAGGTACCTCGTGGAACTAGTCCAGGTGCACAGAATCAGCTGTGGGAAACTAAGCCAAGAATCAGCTATAGTATCACGTATATAGATCTTTTTCTTCCATTGTTGCCCTACTGTTTTTGCGAGATATGCATGACTTTTAAAAGATTGTAGATCGGAGGAAATAGTTGGCAGCTCGAAAAACAAAAGAAGATTGTTCACTATCTATAATTTTAGAGATAACACGGGAGTTGGCTGAGCAATACCAACTAAATTCAAGTTGGAAGCTTAAGCCAAGAACATAAATATGTAAAGGAGAGATCCCAGTCCTCAGAATAAGAAATAGCTGCAGCTAGAATTCAATTAAATCACAAATGAACCAAATCAAACCTAAAGCTTGAAACATCGAAACTAAGTTGCTAAGTTCTCTACATTTCTACTAGCATATAAAACTATAAGGAGACCAAAAGACGACTAATGAAACAAAACATACTAACATAGTTAAAACTTAATCTCAGCTAATAGTATTGCCTATATAGATACTTTTCCTCCATTATGCCTTATGTTTTGCTTGGTATGCATGAATTTCAAGAGATTGTAGGTCGGAAGAGGTAGTCGTTGCCAGCTATAAGAACAAAAGAAGATTGCTCCCTTTCTATAAATACAAAAATAAAAGGAAAGTTTGTTGAGCTACACCAATTGGAAGCCTAAGCCAAGAACATAAATATGTAATATGAGACGGGGTCATTGTGTCTAACTCAACCCCAAAACGTAGCTCAAGAGTTGAGGATTGTCAAGTATCCAGGACCATGCAAAGAGATAAATTTGCCTCCCGTCCATTGATGTGGGATAATTAAACACTCATCAGGATTCAGGAGAAACAAGAATTGGTAGATGATACCAGGATAAAATTAAAAAAAATGAAACTTGGGCCTGATTCAACCTCAAAAACTAGCTCGAAATGTGAGGATTTCCAAAGATCATAGACAAATTTGTCTCTCTTTCACCTATGAGGGATAATCCAACAGAATAAGAATCAGCTTCAGCTAGATTTCATTTAAACAACAAGATGAACCAAATCAAACCAAATAAACAATGAAATCTGAAATAAAGAGAAAAGTCTCAAACCCACTGTTCAAAATCCCCAAACACTGAATAACAAGCACACTCTACATCATCAGCTACAAGACTAAAGCTTGAAACTTTGAAGCTAATTGAGAGGAAGAACACAAACCAACTAGAATAAGCTTTAGCAAGATTCCATATAAACCACAAGATTAACCAAACCAAACCTAAAAAACAATGAACTTTGGAATCAAAAAAGGTCTTAATCTTAAATCCACTGTTCAAAATACCCCAAACACTGAAACAAGCACACTCTATATCATCAGCTACAAGACTAAAGCTTGAAACTTTGAACAAAATGAAATATAAGAACACTAACCAACTAGAATTAGCTTTAGCTAGATTTCAGTTAAACCTTAAAAAAGTGAAATCTGAAATCCTCAGACACTGAAACAACCACACTCTATGGATCAGCTACATGACTAATAAAGCTTGAAACTTTGAACAAATTGAGCAAATGTAGAACACTCACCAACTAGAATTAGCTTTAGCTCAATTTCTGTTAAACCTTAAAAAAGTGAAATCTAAAATCCTCACTGAAACAACCACACTCTATGGATCAGCTACAAGACTAATAAAGCTTGAAACTTTGAACAAATTGAGCAGATATAGAACACTAACAAACTAGAATTAGCTTTAGCTAGATATCAGTTAAACCTTAACAAATCGAAATCTGAAATCAAGAAAAAGGGTCTTAAATCCACAACTCAAAATTCACAAACACTGAAAAACAAGCACACTCTACATCATCAGCTACAAGACTAATAAAAGCTTGAAACTTTTAACAGCAAATCAAGAAAAGAACACTAACCAACTTGAATTAATAAGATCTCTCCAATTTGGAGAAGCAACATTTCTTGGTCCAGAAACATGAAATGCATAAGGATGAGATTCAACAGCACCCTTTTCAAAATTCTCCATTTTTATCTCTCCTTCAGCTGCCACCATTTCATTCCTCATCTCTTCTACTCCCCTTTTCGACATCTACAAACAACCCACTTCTCGAATCGAACAAGGTAACGAGTCTAACGCGAAAAAAATTCGATCTTTAAATCAATGACACCCTTCTCACCTGAAGAATGTGTGACAGAAGAACAAAAAAAATGGAGGAAAAGGGAAGTTTTGTTAAGATTTGTACATGGAATTGGATTTTGGTAACATTAATGAGGAATTTAATTCTTAGATTGAAAATTTAATTGATTAGTAGATAGTAATCATTGTTAATGGCATATTTTGAATTATATTTGGCTTTTGTTTAGAAGAGTCTCTAACGGTCATATTTCCCCTTTTTTCTATTTTTTTTTTTGGAAAATTAATCATATAAGCAAACACATATTAGTTAATTAGTTAACATGGCTATAATTTATCTTAATTATAATTCGCGATCTACTTTTAGCTATAATTACGTGGCTTAAATTTTTAGTTTTATATAATTCATACGTTTGTATAATTCGAAATTTGTATAACTTTTTTATAATTCGAAATTTGTATAATCTAATTTGTATAACTGCTTACACTTTTGATATTTGTAATTGTATAAACTAGTTGTTTTGAGTTTATACAAAAATAACTTAATTTTTTTACAAATGTGACTGCGAATTATACAAACCTGCAAATTATACAAATCAGCGAATTATACAAATGATGCAGTTATAGCTATAATCCGTAAATATGCAAATTATAACTATGAAACATAATTAAGTTTATCATAGTGGCTATTTGCGAAACTTTCCCCTTTTTGTATATTGTAATTGTATTGAATTCTGATTAATTCAGATTCGTGTTGTATTGGAGTTTGATTTATAGATTTGTGTTATGTAGGATCTATTTGAAAAAAAAAGAAAGAAACTAAACAAATACCACATAAAAGCAAAATAATAACAAACATAAACCCTTTACGTTCATACCACACTAAATAATTATATTATATACTCGCAACTGATTTCGATTAACTAATACTATATCAATACCATATACTGTATTGATATCATTAAGATTTTTCTTTAAAAATTACTCATTAGTTATTATAAGAGGACATGTCTATTTTTATAGTATTATTAAGATTTCTTGTTCAAAAATTTCTCATACATCAATGACGTTCTAAGTATATCATTGACGAATGAGTAATTTTCGAAAAGAAATCTTAATGATACTAATATATCACACACACGCGCGCACACACGCACGCATGTACGCACGCGCCCCACATGCACGCACGCGCGCACACGCACACACACAGATTTAATATCAGTTAAGCAAAATTGTCAGACTTAATGATACCAATACAATATATGATATTTTATCTAAACAAAAATTAGTTGGGTTTTCTGGTGATTCTTTCGAGCTAGTATATTCACAACAAATAGTTACTTTTGTAGTTTATTTTTAATCCTGATATTAATTCAATACTTCTTTCGTTTCAATTGATTTTTTTTACTGTTTCTTTTAGCCTCTTTTTTTGTTTCGCAACTCTTTGATTTCCACATGACATATTCAAGTACATTCTATCATTGGTTTGATTATTACATATCATTTCATAATGCATGTATCGTATTATTTTGATGAATAAAACATGATAATAGATCATAATGTTTTCTAGTCGTTACATAATATCCACAATATTAGATCGAAGAATAACCTATAAGAAAAGCAAGCTATATACACAACGTAGAACTACGATACATGTTTTTGTATTGTATTGTATTATGTCATAGTTATATCGTAATGTTATATTAGTTGTAACAAACAATTAATAAGCGATATGTACATCAATTCGTATATCTTAATGGATACATAACTTATTTTGTAAATTAATCGAGATACGTGATAAAAAAAAATCTTAATAGAGCCAATTAATTAGCTTCAAAATATTATTATGTCATTTCTCCAGCTCACCTGCAAATTTTTTCAACTGTCTCTCTATATTCAGATCTCCGTTGATCCACCGCCGTATCGGTAAATCATGTCGTACGCATATCTCTTCAAGTATATTATCATCGGCGATACTGGTAATTTTGTTTTTTTTTTTTGCTTAGTCACGAGTTTGAAGTTTTTTTTTTTTATATATAATTTTACATGATTTTGAATCTGATTAATAAGTTTTTGCTGTAAATTTGTTTATCGGCGATGATAATTTGATTGATTTTCAGCTTTTTTTTCTGCATTTTGTTTAATAGGTTGGGTAAATTTAGTGTTTTTGAACTTGTGAGTACTGATTATGGATCTGGAAAAAAATAATTCTTTTTGAGGTTCTATTGTAGTGATTCTTACTGAAATATATGTCAATTGAGTATATGCTGATATCTAAGCTAGCGGTTAGCAGAGATTTTGAGGATAGTTTTTGAAAATTTATAGACAAATATCTGTTTGGCTATGAATTTTATGAGTGTTCGGAAATTTGATGTTCAAATATATGTTTGACAGTGAAATTTGATCAGATTATGATAATCTGAGCTTCAAATATTTTCTAGTGTTTTTGGGACTTCCATCCACAAAGTAAAATGCATGTCCAAACACAACTTCAAATTCAAAATATTACAACTTCAAAAACTCAATTTTTCATGTTTCAACTTCAAAATATATGGCCAAACAGGAGCTAAGTACTTATTGCAAGCGTAGCGATTCTTCTGAAAGATATGGAATTGAGTATATGCTGCTATCTAAGAACTAGCATTTTAATAGGCTTCTAATATTTTTATCTAGATTTCATAAATTTAGTAGAAATAAAATCGATTTTGCGTGATTTTGAATCTGATTTATAGTTTTAATTTTTATTACTTGGCAATGCAAAATAGATTGGTTTTCATTTTTCCTCCATTTTGCATCTAATCAGTAGGTTCTCTTGATAATTTGGTTTTGTGTATTTGGTAAGCTAGAGTTTCGGTATGTTAGCCTGATTTTTATCTATATTGACTGTTTACTTGTCATTGAGGTCTATTTAGTTTGTAGCTGTTGTAGAAAGCCTTTAGAATAGGGCAAGAAATAGCATCTACAAAGTTGTCAATCTGCAGTGGCGCAGTTTAATTTTACGGTTTCCAGTGTTAAAATAGCAGTGTTATCAAAAATGAAAAGTTCTAAGGCCCGTTCAGACTTTTAAGCGCAAAGAAAAAATAAACCTTTGGCTTCAATGAAAAAAGTGCAAATGGAGAGAAAATACAAATATATATATGTTTAGTCCAAGATCCATGTTACCAAAAACAAAAAGCGCAAAAAAGCTCTAGGTCCGTTGGGGCATTAAGCCAGGTGTAGCACTAACATATTTTGAGTCTTGCTTCATGGCTTAAGCACGCCTTTGACAACACTGTCCAAGACTAGTAATTATTAGCATGAACAACAAATATATGGACAAAGAAATTTAAAAAAGAATAACAATAATGTAAAATATTAATTTGTTTAGTATTGCCTCTTTAAGAAACACTCATTGGGAAGAAAAAGTATGTCTTAGAGCCTTGATGACAGCACTCAAGCACACATCAAGCAAGGGGAAGTACTCAACATGTTTCGAGTCTTGTTCCCGGGCTTAAGGGCGCCTTTGACAACACTGTAAAATAGTGAGCAGTTTTAGAAATTACCTTCACAGCTTCTTTGGACTCGTGAGAACTGGAAAATGCTTTCAAAAAGCATGAAAGACATTAGCTTGTGGAAGTTACAATACTCACTCTTTGAATTATCATGTTCATAATTTCAATGTTTTAAGACGTGAAATATACATGAATTTGTACCTTTATCATGAAATCAATTGCTCAAGAGCATCACCACCCATTATGACAAAGTTCCATGCCAATACATATTCTCTTAGAGACACTCAAACTCAATGTGATTCTAAACTCTTTACTGTTTATCTGATTGTTATTTTAATATGATTCTGTATGTTTTATTGCTATTTCAGGACTCACATAATGCCTCTTTTAGATTTACTATGCCATGAAAGAGTGCAACCCTATCATCCCTGTTTGAAATTACGATGCATTAGATTGTACTGTGTGATGTCCATGCATATGTTACTTAAAGTCTTGTGCGAGACTTCACTTATAAAGATATAATATTCTCTATACAGGAGTTGGAAAGTCATGTCTACTTTTGCAATTTACGGACAAACGGTTTCAACCAGTTCATGACCTGACCATCGGGGTTGAATTTGGGGCTCGAATGATCACAATCGACAACAAACCAATTAAACTACAGATCTGGGACACGGTTAGTGAGAAAAACTCTCTTCTTCTGTTTTCTCTTAGTATGTTATGTAGAATTTCGGGATAAATGCCTATAGAAGTCCATAGTTCAGTTTATCATCTTTTTTTTAAAAAAAAAAACAAATCATTTGGAGCTTAACCTAAATGAGACCAAGTCCTCCTCCTAGTTTTCATCTCTAAATGTGCTATCACTAAAGTCTAAAGGCATGTTCTTATAAATGTTCTCGTTTCAGGCTGGTCAAGAATCATTCAGATCCATCACAAGGTCATATTACAGAGGGGCTGCGGGCGCATTACTTGTTTATGATATTACAAGGTAGCACACATCTTTGTCACTTTGGATAAGGGAATTTGACACTTTCATAATGCATGTAACTCTAGGAGCCTAGGAGGTGTACTTCTTTATGTGTAATTTAACTTTGGTTAGAAATTCCAGTAGAGTAACTTGCTGCCCTGAAGATCTCATTTAAAGTGGCTGCAACTCAAATATATTGTAGTCTTTTAGTTAAACTAATTAAGGAACATCACATTTTAGTCTATCATAGCAAGGACATATGTGATGGTGTTATGATCATGATAGCTAATATATTCTGGACTAAGGGGAGGAATAAAAAATTTGGTCAAGATAATAAGAAGTGCAAAAGATAATGGATGAGCATTAAACTTCCAGAGCAGCAGCTCTGCCAGTTAGTGAGCTAGAGTCATATAGTTTTCAAGCCTTATTTGTTCCTGAAATCTGTAATGCACTTAATACTCTTCATGGTCCAATTGAAACTTTATGTGGGGGTAAAGTTAAGCATCTGTTTTATGAATCTACTTCCATTAGAGAATGCAAACGAGGGGAAAATATGTTACAATATAAAATCAGGATAGCCTGATTTGCGTGTCTATTATCTCTGCTTGCATTATTTTAGTTGGTCACAAGATTTTGAATGTTTTCTCCAAATTAAATAGGAGGGAAACTTTTAATCACCTTGCTAGTTGGTTAGAAGATGCAAGACAGCATGCAAATGCAAACATGACCATAATGCTGATTGGGAACAAGTGTGATCTGGCTCATAGAAGGGCTGTAAGCACAGAAGAAGGTGAGCAGTTTGCCAAAGAAAACGGATTGATATTCATGGAGGCCTCAGCTAAAACAGCTCAGAATGTTGAAGAGGTAAGGAATTTTCTGATCTGACAGGTCTTTTGAGGTTTTGAGTCCTACCATGGAAGTTCTATCTCAAATTTAAATTTTTGTTCTTGACTGGATGATCTCTTTTCTGCATTATTCAGGCTTTCATCAAAACAGCCTCAACAATCTATAAGAAAATACAAGATGGAGTGTTTGATGTATCGAATGAGGTATGCCACACCTTGATCGCTGATTTTGAGTATGCTCGATATGTTTTTTGATGGTCATGATTAGTTGATGTCATTATCTGTCTGAGATGAAGTACTTTTGCAATTGGCTATTTATGCCCAGAAAAAGACATCTCTTTTAGAGTAATATGGAAATAGTAGAGAAAAACAGTGATTCACATCCAATTTAGTCTACACATCATATTTGGTTCATTCTGGTCCTATTACCAATTGCTATTATTACAACCAGGAAATCCTGAAGGGCCAGATGGCGCATGGGTCAGAGCTTGGTGGATAATGAGCCTCACACTCTACCCTTTTCCACTTAAGTACCAAATCTTGTTGTTAACAAATATAGTATCTCATTAGTTTAAAGAACATATTGGAAAGTCTGGAGGATTTTTCCTTCAAAAAAATCTAATTGGGTAACTTGCCGACATTTCACATGAAACAAGGTGAACCGTCTGGGGACACTTTCATCCATTGCATGGTGGGTCCGGTTTAAGGGCACGTATGTCCTGGCTATATACAGCTAATTGCTGCTGTTACAGCTTCTACAATCCCAGTTATATATAAAAATTGTGAAATATAAAAAAGAAATATGCAGCCCCTGATGATTTCAAATTACTTATATCATTATTAGTTTACACAATAATGCGAGCACTGTTTCATTCATCCAACTTTTGATCCCCTACAAGTAATTTAGATGGGAGTGATGGTAAATTGGTGATTGATAGAAAACCAGATTGTAGCACATACCACTAAGAAGAGGTTGCCTGCTTTCTTAATGCTTTTGTGCCAATGAGAGTATTTATTTTCGTTGTGTATAATTCTCCCGTCTACTTGGATATTTTTCTGCAGTCTTATGGTATAAAAGTTGGATATGGAGGCATTCCAGGACCATCAGGTGGAAGAGATGGAGCTGCTTCTCAAGGAGGGGGTTGTTGTACTTGAAACTTGAAAATCATTCTTCAAACTTGATCATGTTCTCATCATCTCTATGCCAGCCATCATCACGGGTCTTTCATTCTTATCTTATTTGTTTTAATGATGTTACCTGTGCAAAAATAAGCAAAATTCAGTAAATAGTGGACAGTCCATCTTTATGTGCGCCCGTGTATAATAGTTGGCATTTCAAAATGTGAATAGAATTCCTTATATCTTGTGTGCTTGTGTGAATGAGAAATATTGAACTACACTTGCCCGCCCTTCTTCTCTATTCCAAGTCTTGGGTGTCAATTTTCTTCTTCTTGTACAATATCTCAACACAAGGTACAGGCAACACGATCATTGCCAGAGTAATTGGCACAAAATAGCCGCATCTGATCAACGGAGAAAGATACCTTATATTAGATGTTTGCGAATGAAGAAAAAGTATGACTAGTATGACTACTTTTAGTGTTGTAGTAACTCCGCACCTTCAACTAATTCAAGCAATTCAGTCAGTAGGAAAGTCATATGACTGAACATTGGTTTGTCGTTTCATACGGAGCAAGGTATGGCTCACCTATTAGCTTTTACTATTTTACTTCATTATGTTCTGGAAACTTGATGAGAGTCAATAATCAAGGCATCCACTTCCCTTTGTCCTATTTTATGTTTCTTCATGAAATATTGTACGGCTAGTTAATCTTTCCATTCGGTTTGATGAGAACAACAATAGTATTCAGTCACTATCGTAAGATTGAGGTGGATACAGTGACGGAGTCAGAAATTTTATTAAGAGAATCTAAACAATACATAGATGTTATACAACCATGAATTAGTGAGGTTTGAGGTGTCAACTAAAAAACAATTCACTTGATTCTTCCTTGGAATGAATTGTATCAACTCTTATGAAATTATGTAAGTTTGTGCTTTTGATTGGTGACTGCTACAATGCCATATGGATTCCATTCCCAGGAAATTCACTCTCTGGATATGCTTCAGTCCCAAGCTAATTGATGATCAACTATATGAATCTTCATGAGTCATTTTGCCATTTATCAACAATAACATATCAAAAGAGTTAATCGGAAGTCCTTTACTTTTTTGCTATTTACTTTTTCTAGCTCTCTGCTGGAAAACTTCATGTTCAGTGATGTAGGATTTTGTTTTAATGTCTAATAGTGTTTTTCATTTGAAATTACCTTCATCAATGCACCTGATATATGATTTTAGACTACCTCAAGGGTGTGGTGGGATGAATATGATCCCCCTCCACCCTTAACTAGATATCTCGAGTTCAAGCTTTGGTAGGAAGTATTTTCCTTCTTTAATTAGATCTTAGGTGACATGAATCTGAATTAGTCGAATCAGTAAGATCAGAATACTAGATGATTTCCTCTAAAAATATATATCAGGCCTTTTAAAAATGACATGTCCTTGTTTTAGCATTACAGATGAGATGAAAAATATTATCTGCACATAATGTTACATTACACATAAGAGAAGGGGAGGGGGGGAGATTTAGAAGAAAGAGTGGATTGCTTTTGCTCTACTTAGTTTAGTGAAACTTGAGACTAGTCAAGACATTGTTGTTTACTGGATCAGCCAAATGATCAAGAAGGTTTTGGTAAGGTCCAACACCAGTAACCAATGCTTGAATAAAGTATCCCAAAACAGCCAACATAGCAAGTCTTCCGTTCTTAATCTCCTTAAGCTTCAATTCCTTCATAGACTTTTCATCTTTTCCAAATCCAAGTGGATTAAACAATGGGCCACCTGGGTATGCTGGATCACCTGACCCACCCAAACCCTTTTCAAGACCCAAGAAGTATTGTTTCCCCATTGAACCAGGTTTGGCCCAATCTTGGAATCTCCTGTGCTCAGCAAAGCCCATGAGTGCCATTTCAAGAACAAACAATGTGTAATTGTCAGCCCAGTAGTTGTATGTTCCTGCTGGTGGGATAACACCAGTTTGGAACCATGCAAGTGCTGTTTCTTGTGGGATGAGACCAGCTTTTCCAAGAATCTCTGGTGCTATTGCCCCTGCAGCTCCTAACATGGCGAACCGACCATTGATGACCTCGCCATATGCTAGCCATTTCGGCTCGATGAAACCTCCTGTGCCTTCAGGGTCCGAGAGTCCCAAGGGATCAAAACCAAAGTCACCGGGAAGACTGTGGATCAGCAAACAATCATTTAGTAAGTTCACTCAAGTTATATATCATCTGTGCAATGTAAGTGCATAAAATAGACTCTTGTCGATTACCTTATATGTGCAGCATGAGTTTTTATACTATATTAGGGTTGATTCGCGACCTATATTTGTTATAAATCAATTTAACTGTCTTTACACTGTTAGTGCATAGAACATAAATTCTTGTCAATTACACCATTTATGTGCACCATGTACTATGTGTGCAATTCAATTGATTGTAGCAAGATATAAATCCATTTCCAGGATACTATATTAGGTTTGACCTACAAATTGTTGTAAATCAACTTAACCTTCTTTACACTGTCAATGCACGAAACATAAACTCTTGTCGATTATTGTACATATGCACCATGTTAAACTATATGTGCAATTTTCTAGGTTACTATATCAGGCTTAATATTGAGTGTTACCTAGATTTGTTGCTAGTCGATTTTTATCTTTTATGTCAGTGTACAAAACATAAACTCGACAAGGCTATTGAAAGAGCTATTATAAGTCACACCAATTCTCATAGATCTTACCTTCCATCCAAGTATGAAAGGCTTTGTTTGGATGCAAACCAGAGTTGCCTATTTGCTCCTTGCTGTAAAATAGAATCAAGTGTATGAGTACTTGTGTATTATTTTAAAGTTTTCATCAATTATTCTATACAATTTTTGTAATTCTTTTAAAGAGTCCGAGCAACTAAGGTAACAACAACTCACACTTGCACACAAAATTCAAAATTAACTTATGGTTCACGGATATCTTGCTCAGACACTTAAAGAATGTAGATGACTTTTATCGAATCCTTCAAAAAATAGTGTATTTCTGGAGGATTCCAATAAGTATACACATTATCTTTAAAGCGTCCGAGTAGCATAGATTTCAGTATATCCTTGTTTTGAACGAAACGACCCCGAGTATAGAAAATTACCTTGACTGGTGGAGTGGAAGCAGCCCTTACAACAAAAGAAGCTTTTCTAGTAACAGATTGTGAAATTCTTGATCCAATAATTTGTCTTGCAGCTTCAGCTGAAGTGCTAATTGATGATGAAGAGATCAATGCTTGAGTTGCCATAATTTCTCTTCTCTTTTTTGTTTGTTTTTGTTTTTTTGAGAAGAAGAATAATATAAACACTTAGCTCCACAAGAATAAATTAAATACAAAAGGTGGCAAATAAGGGGACAAAGTATTTTGTGGGGCTAAGTGAAAAGAATAGAAATTGTGGTTGATATAACAAGTTGTGAATATTGAAGATAAAGTTGTGATCTTGTGGACAAATGAGAAGTGAACATGTGGATTCATTAAATCAGATAAGAGATATTATATTCCTATAGTCACAAATGAAAATCTTAGATACTCTTGTTTGGTGTTGCCACCTTGCCTTCTCATAGATTTACTAGGGTATATAGTTTTTTCTCGTGACGGATTCTGAATTTGAAATTTGTGTTTCTTATGATAACTACAAGTTAATATGATACACAAGGCGGAGATATACGTATGTTACATGTTTAGCTCAATTCAACAATTTTGATTTAAATTCTGTATTTGCGTTAGGAAATTTATTAATAAATGTTGAACCTAACAATGTAAAATGACTAGAATTAACGATAAGCTTCAGATTTTACTATGCTTCTAATGGTATAATAATAACTAAAATCATGAATTATTTATTAAATAAATTTTTTCAATATAAATTTGTACAAAATTTACTATATTCGCATTATATTTTAAAGGGAAATTGTATATAATAGCAAACTAATAACCTAAATTAAATGGAATAGCTAGGGTTTGATTTAATTGTGCTCCATAACAAACATTAGCTAAAATTTGTCAGCGTCTCTCTCCCAAAAATCTCGCTCGCCACTCTCCATTCTCGCTCGCCTTTCTCACTTTATACACATAAGTTTATAATTCTGTTTCTGTTTTGTATAAAGCGAGAGAAAATTGTATATACACATGCAAAAATGTATATCTTTGTGTTGTACACTTAATTATACAATTTACAAACATTTTACTTCAAATATTGCAGAGAAAAAGGCCAACGAATTATACAATTGCAGTGAAATACAATTTTCTCTAGCTTTATACAACAGAAGTGTATATATTGTGTTTCTGTTTTTGTATAAAGCGAAAAAAACATATATTTTCTTGCTATACACTTATAATTATGCAATATACATACATTTTAATTCGATTCAACTGTATGCAAAGCAAATTATACAATTGCAGCGAAATAGGCCAACGAATTATACAATTTAGGCCAGCGAATTATACAACTGTATATCTATAGCGAATTATACAGTTTTATGTTTGCTATGGAGCGCAATTATGTTGCTATAGCATACAACTATGAATTTTTTGTTTGCTATATGTGAAAGTTGCCCTATTTTTAAACCTACGCAATAATTCATACGTTAAATTGAAATACTATTTAAAATTTAACTTTTCGAATGTTTGTTAATAAATTAACACATAATTTAGTGATCTTAATGATATTTCACTTATAAGTGTTCACGATCTATTAAAATTAAATCAAATAAAAAATTCTGAAAAATTATCATAACTTCTTGTTAAGTTAACTCCGATTTATATATCATCATTAGGTGCGCAATTTTTACCGTATATATCAGACACCGAGTGGAGAACAAGAAAATTTGAGGCTATTTTACTAAACATTTTCATTAATTGGGTTAAAATTTAAATGGAGACACCGAAAGATCCGATTTATGATCCGTAGTATACTTGAAGTATCCAACCACCACTTTCCAATCGGGTCGAACCAGAAATGATGCTCCGGTTACTGAAGCACGGGAGAACTCCGGCGGGTCGCCTTCCCCGCCGATGGATGAGCAGCGGCAGTCATAGCAAAACAACGGTGATGAGCTTCGGTGACGGAAGCCACGGAGCTTTGGGCCTTCCGTCATCCATCATTGGTATGGGATCCGACGCTTACGAGCCTACTCCTATACCCGGTCTCCCGCCTGACGTCGTTTCCGTCGCCGCCGGTCACTTCCATTCTCTCGCCGTTACTTCTGAGGGACATGTTTGGGCTTGGGGACGTAACAATGAAGGCCAGCTTGGCCGTGATCCCCTTTCTCCCAGGTGAGTTAATGATCAAAAACGCACGGTATCCGATTTTTCGAGTTTTATATCTGAATTATTAGATATTCAAGTTTCCTAATCAAACTATCACTGACTATTTATCAAAACACACTATTATTTTCCCGGCGTGAAATATCACCATTATTCAGGCAGGAAAAAAAGGAAAGAAACAGTTGTTAATAGTTAATATAAGAAATTCCGATACAAAAAAGTTTCGGTATGAAACTTGAAAAATTGTTTGGAATACTTTAGTTGTGTTTTTAACCTTACATGTTTGTATATGTATGTCCACTGATTGAACAGGCAAAAACTTGTAACTTACTTATCAGTAACTGTATTGAATTGTGGCTTGATATTGTGTAAATTGACAGTGTTTTATGTGTCATATGCTTGCTTTCTATGTCTGTTAGTAGTACAAGTTGGAGAAAATTGTGTATTTCATTGTATTCGTTAAATGGAATGTGCTTCAATCTCGAGTTAGTAAGAAGTCTGCTGTATGTGGAATCCTCTGTATCTATTCAGCTTTATTCGATGCGTGTGCTCACAAGTTTGGATTGAGAAGGATTCATTATAGTTAAGCAATTATTATGTTGATGTAATCCTCTTCGAAGAAAGTAGCTTTCAGATTAAATCTGGCAATTTCGTGTTTATGACCTTGCGAGGAACTGTAAAGAGGTTGTTTGAGCTGAAGATTCATATATCTGATGCAGTCATGCCATTGCTTGTATATATGCTCTTTTAGTTCACATTCATGTTTCCACCCTCATTGATAAGGAAATGTAATAAGTAAACTGATTTCAACATAAGCGAGTCAAGTGTGCGTGCAAATGTAACAGATGAAAGAAAGCTCTGGAAGAAGACTATACCTTGAGGCCATTAATTTGCTTTTGCTTCTTGAGTAGACTGGAGAGCTCTGGTGGTTTGTTGTTTCTTATATAAATGATTAACATTCCAAGAAAAGCTTAATCTGGCCAAAGCATGATCCTCGCAATCTGATGTATGAAAAGCATTAAGTTCTGCCAACAGAACATTGTAACAGTAGTAGACAAGTTGTTTGGTCAACCACACAACCTCAGCTTAGTTCCATAGTTTAACAGTAGCTGTAAAGAATGTTGCCATGATAATGCCGAGTGCCGACTGTAACAGATTTCTTTACTGCTGTGAGAAAAGAGCAATTTCTCTTAGTATTGAAAGTTTCTGTGACATCCTAGTTTACCTCTATTTGTTTGTTTGTATGACTCTAGAAAGGTACTAAAATTTCGGTTTCTAGACTGTGTTAGCCTATGTTGCTCGGACTCTCCAAAATTGTTGTCGCACCCATGTCCGATTCTTCAAATGCACTACTTTTGTAGTATCCGACGTGCACCCATAGACATTTTTGAAGAGTGCAACCCACATAGGTGTTAGCTATCTCTGTGCTAACCTTTTCTTCTCCATATGCTGGATATCCAGATGAAGTGACTATTGTTTTCCAAAGGATCTCATGTATTTCCTTCTCTGTCCTGTTTTCACCCTGTCTTGCTTTTCTTCTTTTACTTAGGGTTGGTTTGGGGTTGTAGGGTGTTTGTATTACTGACATGGAAATCCTTTTTTGTTGAGCTTGTTCAGAGAAACGTGGAATGAACCAAAAAGAGTAGAAGGACTACATAAAGTACGAGTTCAAACCGCATTTGCATCAGGTGTCATTTCTGCCGCCATAGGAGATGATGGATCTCTATGGGTTTGGGGAAGTTCTAAGCGTGGGCAGCTTGGTCTTGGCAAGGGAATCACCAACACTGCATTACCTTTGAAAATTGAAACACTTTCTGGAGAAGATATTGTTAAGGTGGTCATCCAATCATGCTTAAGGTAGAATAAGTTTTACTTGTCAAATAAATAGGAGGAAGAAATGTTACTGGGAACACATAATGATATAATGTGCAACAATAATAACCAAGTTAAGTAGATGGTGAATATTGTTGAACTGTTCAGATTTTTATTTTTATTTTTTTTGGAAGTGTAGGCGTGTTGTCAAATCATTTGGTGTTGGCAGGTCTCATTAGGTTGGGGACATGCTCTTGCACTAGCTAAGAATGGGAATTTGTTTGGCTGGGGATACTATGCAGATGGTAGAATCGGTAAGATAGGAAGAGAGTTGGAGATATCTCCACTGGAATCAAATAGTATTAAACCTAGATCAAGAGGAGAATCTTCTGCAATTGAAGCTGCTGAGAAGTCAGTCATGGAAGCTATCGAGAAGGAAAAAGATATGCCTATCATATGGGAGCCTGGTTCAATTGAGGAGCTACACGAGTTAAAAGTTGCAGATGTAGCTTGTGGACTTGATCACTCTCTTGTCCTTTGCCGTAAGTCACATTTACTGATGTGTAAATACTTGAAATGTACATGAATGTATGTTGATGGTGGTTTATATTTACTTATTTTAGGTGATGGGATGCTGTTTAGTGGTGGAAGCAATGTGTATGGCCAGTTAGGAAGAGCGATAAAAGACTTGGGAATGCAACCCGTTGATATAAACTTCCTTCCTCTCTCTATAGCTTCGGGTCTTGGGCATTCTTTGGCAGTTTGTAACGATCGTTCATCAGAACCAACAGGAAATGCAACAAGTGTTGTATCATGGGGATGGAACAAAAGTTCTCAACTTGGGAGGGAAGGTCCAGACAACACTCCTCAGGTTGTTGAAGGGCTGATTGGCGAATCACCTGTTTCTGTATCAGGAGGACGTGCACATTCCCTTGCTCTCACAGCAAAGAAAGAGTTATGGGCTTGGGGCTGCGGGAGGAACGGGAGGCTTGGTTTAGGCAGCTCTGCTGATGAAGCGGAACCAATGCTCGTTGAATATTTGGAAGGTTCTGACGTTATTCAAGCTGTTGCAGGTCTGGATCATAGTCTTGTTCTAGTTAGTGAATAAATCTTTGATTTCTTGTTTCTTCTTGTTTTAGATACTCTGTAGGGCTCGTTTGGTTTATCCTACATTGAGGGTAGAATAACAATCCTGGGATAACTTGTTCCCCAACCAAACCGAGCCCTTAGAATTTTAGAAACACCATCAAGAAATAAAGAACTAATTCTTAGGAAATCATTCTCAACTATTAGTATCTTTTGTCTTTGAATGACAAATAGGATCCTACAAAAACGAGTGCCTCGTCTGAGGATCCCTCGCGATAGGCTTCAGAAGCATCGAGCCATAATGCTCGTTTTTAGTGTCTTTGAGCTCTCTTCAACTCCCTCCGACTCCGAATCTCAGAAGTTTGCAGGGCTATCATCTAACTGTTTCTCATCTTCTATATCCACCTCCAAGATTTCCTAAAAAGTAGAAAAAAAAAATAGTTATAGAGTTGAATGAAAGAAATAAACACTAGTAATATTTTTATAGTATATATACTTACAGGGATTCTTTGCTTCAAGTAATTACCAAGTCTTGCTACAACAGTAGAACGTGTATGCCAAAATTTGCCACTTAGTCTAAGTTTCACATAAGGTCCATCCACTTCTGCAAGTTCTGCTTTTCCTGTTCAGTCGAGTGTCTATCAGAAATAATCTCTCTTTATGACAGGGAAAAGATCAGCGTTCATATTGCTCGATCTCTCTAGACCTCACGTGTGTGATTACGCTAGGTTAAATACATAAAAGGAAGAAAAAAAAACAAGACTTAATTTTCATTATTCATTTGATGAGATGTCAATCACCTGTTATCCCAACTGTAGTATCAAAAAGTTGTGCCAACTGCAGAATCCAAACACCAAAACAAATAATGAGAATTATTGATAAATTCAGACACAAGATTTAAGTAGGTTTTGACATAAAGTGAATTCGAGATTTGAACTTTATGAATTCGAGTTCGGAAATATATCATTTGTAGTCCTATATTAAATTTTTCAACACATGCAAAATCTTGGTTAAAGTTGGTGGATTCACATAACCTATAAATTTCATTTTTGTTTTCGATTGCTATATTCGTTAGGGTTCTACTAAATCTGAATTTTCAAAATAAAAGTCTCACATCTTACTTAAACTCGAAACCTCTAAGTAATGATTAAAAAAACACTTATCATTCCACCACTTAAACCCATAATGTCAGAGAACAAATTTATTATCCATCGAATTTCGAACCGTATACATAAGGAATAAATATTCTCGATTATTAAAAAGAAATTTAAAAATATGATATACCTCAGCCTTTGCATCTTCTAGGACTTGGATAATGTTGTCTTCAGTCAAATCAAGAGGTGAAAGTGAAGCTGATATTCTACACAAATATGTAGTCCTTTTTTTCCTAATTCTTGATGATGATGATGATAATCTTAGACTTGTTATGCCACCATTTTTAAATTTTGAGACACACACAACATTTTGGAAAATTGGTAGCAATTGAGAAGCAAAAGTGTTGAATTTAGGTGTTGTTGATGATGATAAATGTTGAAGTTGTAGTGCCATTTTTTCTCTTTGTTTTTTTTGGGGAATTGTTGTTATCCTTTTCTTGTTTCTTGAAGAGGGAAATTTGTGGCTAGAAGCTATTGACTCAACAAAAGGCCTTTTTCCTTTTTTTTTTTTTAATAATCCCTTGTCTTTGTTTAGATATAAGTTTTTTTTTTTTAATAAAGAGACTATATGGTAAAGTAATTTCTCTATCCTACTAATATTAGTCTTATTTTCTTTCATATTTTACTATTGAGATTACACTAGATATGTTTACGATGGTGTTTTTGTAACTCGGGTTTTACTTGAGACTAGTGGAGGAGCCACTTTACTGTTACAGGTTAATTCGAAATCTCTTTGACAAAATTATATTATTTAAGGAAAATGCACAAGTATCTCCTCAACCTATGCCCGAAATTTCAGAGACACATTTATACTATACTAAGGTCCTATTACCCTCCTAAACGTATTTTATAAGTAATTTTCTACCCCTTTTCGGGCTACGTGACACTAGTTTAAAAAAAATCAATCAGCGTTGGGCCCACCACGTAGGTGAAAAGGGGTAGAAAGTTATTAATAAAATAAGTTGAGGGGGTAATAGGACCTTAGTATAGTATGAGCGTATCTCTGAGATTTCGGGCATAGATTGAGGGGTACTTGTGCATTATCCCTATTATTTATATATAGTTTTAAAATAATTTTTTAGGGATATATAGTAGATGTTGAACCCCCTTCGACTACTTCGTGTGTCTATTATTTCAATTTTTGAACTCCTCTATTGAAAATCTTGATTCTGTCACTACTTGAGACTAGATTAAGATATTGAACCTATGAATACCGATCTTGAATTTTTTTTTATCTATTATAAAAGATCTAAAATATTAAAAATAAATAAATAAAAAGGTTTTAATTATTAGGGCAAAAATAAGCTTAAAAAAAGGTATTTGAACGAATATTTTTAATGAAATAAGTGGATAAAAGGTATATTTAGACATTTTTTGAGATAGTCTAAAAAGTATTTTTAAGCCCTTTTTGTGTTTAACGACTTGAAAATTTGTTGAGCAAGTTTATTATTGCTCCATTGGGCATAATTAATTGTCTATAAGACAAGAGTTGATCATAGTTTAATTAGTAAAATTTAGGTTTAAATTTCAATTAAAACACAATTATGCAATTTCATACCATTGAGCCAAATTGTGGTGGATAATAATATCTGATATATATATATATATATATATATATCGATGGTAACAAATCAAATAATGTGTAAGTTGATTCAAAAACTAGCAGTATAAAATTATGTAACTTTTTTTCATGCATCCAAATTCTGTAGACAAGTGCTCAATAATATTTAATCATTATTGATTTTGCACATTTTGTAAGAAACTATAAATATAAAAAGGTAATTTTACTATATCATCTTTTGATTATGATAAATAGTTAAATACAATATTTGAAAAATGTAATCGGTAGATAATTATAATTAATGATACGGATAAATTGGGAACCAAGTAAAAAACTTATCCATTGATTTCAATAAGTGGATAAATATTATTAATCATCCTAAATAGAACACAAATATTATTGAACGGAGGAAATATATTGTAAAATTAGACAAAAAAATGATCAAGTTGTGTAATTTCTTTCCATTCCGCTAAATTCTGGTGGATAAAACATTCTGATATATTGAAAAAAGATAATAAATATTGCATAAAATTAATTATGGTCAAGTCGATCCAAACAATTACATAATAAAATTATGTATTTTCCTTTCATTCGTCAAAATTTTAGTGACAAAAATTATCTGATATTTATATCAAAATAACAAATATCTCAAGAAATTAATTAAAATGTGGACAGATTGACTCATACACCATCCTTATATATTTTTAAAAATATATCTCTATGTTCTCCATAATGTATCAAATAAATTATTATGAGATCTAAAGGCAAACCAGCTCAAGTTGCCAATATGAAATGAAATTACTCTCTCCGTCCGAAATTATTTGTCATATTGTGCTTATCAAAAGTTAATTTAATTAATTTTCAAAAGAAATTAGATCATATTAATTCAATATTTTAAACCAAAAAATTAAATATTTTATAAAACTATATAAAAAGTACTATAAATTATAATTTTTGCATATTAATAAACAAAATAAATACATATTAAATTGTTAGTCAGAATTTTTACGGTTTGACTTTAAAAATAGAAACTATGACAAATAATACTGAACGTCCGGAACTGTTGTCATGTTGCGCTTATCGAAAGTCAATTTAATTAATTTTCCAAGGTAAATTAAATCATATTAATTCGATATTCTAAACCAAAAAATTATATATTCTAAAACTATATAAAAAGTACCATAAGTATAATTTTTGCACATTAATATGAACAAAAAATACATCTTAAATTATTAGTCAAATTTTTTATGGTTTAATTTTAAAAATAGAAACTATGATAAATAATATCGAGACAATAATTTTTTTTCAATATATGGTTATCCCATAATGCATAGTTATCAAGATACATTAATATGTTTGCATAGAAATGTGTGTAAAAGCTTTAAATTGCATTAAATTTCCAAAACTACCCAACTTCTCATCTAAAATTTTTTTCATTAATAAGTAGTGAACAATCCATCACTCCAATCTCCCCCTCTCACTTCAATTTATTTTCCACAATATCTTAGTCTAAAGTGTGTCAAAAGAATATTAATTATCAATTATGGGAGATTTGACACAAAAAAATGTTGTGGAAAATGAAAATAATGGAAGTAATATTGGTGAAATAATATTGAGGTTGTTACCTATGGGATTATGTGTAGTGGCACTTGTCATTATGCTTAAGAATTCTCAAACCAATGACTATGGTTCACTTTCTTACTCTGACCTTGGAACTTTTAGGTAACTATATTCTTTTTCGATTCGATTAAGTTTTATGTATCGACGATTGAAAAAAAAGTTATGTTATTTTGTCTTTTGCATGTTATTGATGTCATGCATATGTGATCTAGTTAGGTTTTTTCTGTATCAACAACGAGGAATAATCAATCAGAATTAAGCTAGATATAACTATGGCTTCGATCGATATTATTAGAGAATATATACATGTATATATACGAAATGATATTTTATATATTCGTTATCATTTTAAAACGCCTTTAAACATTATGAAATTTTCGAAATTGATACATGTAACTTAGTATTATTGGTGAAATATTGAATGTGGTGCAGGTACTTAGTACATGCAAATGGAATTTGTGCAGCTTATTCCCTAATATCAGCTATAGTTGCAGCTCTTCCTCGTCCAACAACATTGCCTAGGGCGTGGACAATCTTCCTCCTCGATCAGGTCATTGATTTCATATTTATATATTCCGTAGCATTGATAATTGGGTCGAAAATTGATCAACTATTTTTCTAAAAGTTACTGGTAGATAATTCAGTGAAATAACCCTTTTTACGATTAGTGGAGGGAAATATCGTATAATTCTCTATCAAATGGATGTGTATGCACATCTAGATACCTCATCTCTTTCTCCGTTATGTTAGATGCGTCATATCATTTTCTGGTATCAACGACACATAAAGGGGTCATGTCTAGATATACACTCTCAGAGTTAGAGTGCTTACTTGTTAGCTGAGTCCAAAATCGAGTATATGGTTTATGTATTTGTAGACATTGAAATTTTGTGAAACTCTAGAAAATGCGTTCAATTCGAGTTAGAACTCTACAAATTGTATTCAGTTCAGATTAGGATTCTTGGATGCTACTCAACCCTAAACCCTAGTTTATGCCTATATAAAGGGTACTAAATTCCCTTAAAAAGGCATCTCGGAAATTCCATAAAGAGATCAAAATCTCGAATAATCTACAAATTGATGGATTATTCATATGGAGAGGTCAAATCCAAATCATCCTAGTTCGAGAAATACGCCACTAACGACCCTCAAATCATGGATAAATCTTAGAGAGTAGCATCAAGGGATCAACAGAATTGTACCGTTATCTTAATCAATAAAATTATGTTTCTTCATATTTTATTTGTATGATTTATTTATTTTTCATTTGTTTAAAATTTGTTGCAAACAGTATTATATGCCTCACATAGATAGAAGTATTAAATTCTTTTTCTCAGTTGCTAAAAGTTTTTAACTTTGTAGATATTGACATATATTATATTGGCTGCTGGTGCTGCATCAACAGAAGTGATATATTTGGCATATAAAGGGGATACTAATGTTACATGGAGTGAAACTTGTGGTTCATTTGGTGGTTTTTGCAAAAAGGCAACTGCATCTGTGTCCATTACATTCATTGTTAGTCTTTGTTATGTTGGTATTTCTTTGCTTTCATCTTACAGACTTTTTAGCAAATATGAAGCACCAATTGGACAATACAATAACAAAGGAGGTATAGAAATAACTAACTATTGAGAACAAATGGTATGTAGTCCAAAATGTTTCCAACATTTGATGTTGTGTAATAAAATACTACTTCCTCCGTTTCAGTTTATATGATTTGTTTGATTACTAGCTTCAAAGTTCAAGAAAGAGGGAAAAAAAACATAGTATCTCAGAGACTCGAACTTGAAACAAGACTATGTAAGGAATTTCTACAATATTTCAATCACGCTGAGTTCAAGTCGAAGTTGCCATATAGACTAACAACATGAAGAAATCACACGCAGAAAGGTAAAAACACACAATGGCCACGCTGAAACGCGTGATTTTTAACAGTAGTTAGCTAACGTTTTTAATATCTACTTCCATAAGAGCAGGCACTTGCTGTTTTTACCAAATGACTTCAAGAATCAACGAGCTTCATACTGCACGACTGCACCAAAACAAATATAGTAACTACTTGTAGAAAGTGAGACATTGTAGGTTGGCCCAGATTCCTCACAGCAACAAAGATGTTTCGAGATAAGTGTCTAAATTCTGGGTTGTGGTAAAACTCCTACTACTAAGATTCTTGTATTAGAAACCTTGCACTGGGGAATGGTATATTTAGCTTTCGAATCTCTGAATTTACAACAAAGGAATACAACTACATGCATAACAACCATCTTAGGATCGCTAACGTGGAAGATATCAATCCATTGGTGGAACTAGTGCATCAGCAACAAATATGGGCTCACTTTCTTCCTCCGGGAATAGTTTTAACAGTTTAAAGGACGTAAACAATTACACTTAATTGATTTCTATTGCTAACAGAGCCAATAATATGCCATATCCTCCAACTTTAAACAGAATGTAATGAGACTGTTGTTGGAGAAATGGACCATTAAAATGGTAGGCTAATCGCACATACACAGATTAAACCAAAGCATATGTTCTAAACCAGATTCACCTAAAGATGCCCAAAAGAAAAGCTAATTCAAGCATGATATGCGACAGCATGGTTGAATGCTATATACAAATAAACGTGAATACAGTTTTATGAAATAATAATTTCTTGTTTCTTAACTTCCATTGCAATCAACAGACAACCACAACTAGTAATCAAGATATTTAATTGTCGAAAAGTTCCATGGGTTGTCTTCACAATTTAGCAAACATTACCTAAACACAATAGTAAAAGATTAAAGACCATCAAACTGTTCAACAATACAATCCTAAGACTTCCCGATTTCTTACAGGTTCACATCTCATCATTGCAATTCTAATGACAATTCTAGGTTATGCTTGAGCCTTTTTCTAAGACTTCTCTTTAACAAAGATACGACATTAAATGTAATAGTTACAACTCAAAAGAAGCACATCAATTCCATCCCCTACCATCCCGGAATGCTAATTTAAAAAAGAATACCACATGAAATTTCGCTATATCAAAATTACAGTAACACTCCATGCAAACAAGTGGGGTTTGGAGAGGATAGTGTGTACACAGCCTTACCCCTATCTTATGCAGCTAGAGAGGTTGTTTCAGTTAAAATAAAGCATATCAAAATCAAGTATGAAAAGGAAATAGTGAATACAGTAATGAAGAAGCCACAATAAAAATAAATGAGAAGAGAACAATAGAAACAACAACACTCCCACATCTTTCGAACAGTAGAAACAACAACACTCCATATGTTTCTAAGATCAACCAATTCACTCCAACACTTCCTTTACTCTCAATTGAATAACCTAACCAAGTTAGACAAACAGAACCATAAGCCTTAACCTACTACTCCATCCTTAAGAAACAACCCCTGTCGAAACTGAACCACAATAATACCAAAAGGGGTAGTTTCCTACAATGTCAAAAGTGTTTTCTTAATAACAATATCCGATACACACTCGCTCACCTTGACTAATTCCACTCTACCACCCACCAATTTAAGCACAGGATAACATTGTCCACCTAGGTCATAACAGGTGGAAACAAAACACGTAGAATCCGAACCTAAAACCTCATGATCTTCAGTTCAACACACTTAATTTCCCACAATCGAAATACAGCTATCTAGGTCAACTTGCTCGAACCTCAAATCAACTAGTTTATCTTATAACATAACGCCGAAAACAAACATACCCAAATCCCTAAATCAAGTAATTTGTTTGAATTTACCCCAAATACAGCAATCAAGCAAACATTAACACACAAAACTCAGATTAAAAGGATAACAAAAGCATAACACGAAAAATAATTACTTCTGCGAGTCCTCTTCTTGTAAAGAATACGATAACCACATTCACGACACTGTATCACATCACCAGGCTTTAGAGTATTCTCCTGTCCACAATCTTCATCAAAAAAAAAAGCTCCATGACTCGCTAAACCAAAATTAAACCAAAAAAACAGTACAAATATGAAAAAAAAGGTACCTCCACAGATGTAGCTGACTGGTTCAACAGGTTGAGAATCCATTGGTGATCAACAATTAGCGGAGACGAAGCAATTGCTAGGGCAAAAAATTGATGGATTTTGGTGGGTTTATAGGGTTTATATAGAGGGTTTCGTATGTGATTCGGTAAAACTTATTGGGCCTGGGCCTAGTTATCATCATCTAAATCCTTTCTTAAAGGGGTTGGGCTTTGGCCCAAACACTTTCACTTCATTGATAAAAATAGCGTAAACTAGCCACTTTTTGGTTTGATCGTTTTTAGGACAAATCTCATTATTTCGGAGTCTAATCACATGTATTTTTGAAAATATCATTTCGTATTAGATTTTAGTCTCTAGATACATGAGGGCAAAATTAATGTGATTTTATTTCAGATACACATTATTCAAGTGGATTTACATATGGTTCACTCGTATCTATCCTATTTCGAGCGCGTTGTGTTTAATTTTGGAAAATAATTGGTACTTGATATTCTATACATGTATTTAGTTTGATTCGCAAGTATATGTGACACATTGTGACTCTATTGCTCGTCTCTCTTCTATCGCGCTCGTCTCTTTCCCTATGCATATGTATTAATGTATCTGCTAGCAAAAAACATGTATCTAGATGGTAAAAATATATAAATCATTAGGTAGTTTTTACATTTTTTTAAGGTAACGTTTGACCATATTTTATTATAGCTCATAAAAATAGAAAAATAGTCATAAGAAGAATCGTAATATTTAAGAGATTTAACATTATTAATTATTTCCCGTTCTTTTATAATAGTTGTCCTTTAATCCTCATTCAAAAATAAGTATTCATTTACATTAGATAGATAATACATTATCTTATATCAACAATTGAATAATCGAGTAATCTAACAAAAAGAGAAAAATCAAATCAAATCGAATAACTTAAATACAAATAGAGTAACATTTTAATTCACTTTGAAGACAAGTAATTGCTATAACAAATTAAATTATACTGATAATATAAGTTAAATTCTCTGAGGGTAGAAATAGAAAAATCTTTCCTTTAATTGCACTGCCTATATATAGGAAAGTATTTATTCAACATAATACATAACAAATAATTTCCATAAATAAGAAATTAAAAACTCATTCACCCCTTGTTTTGAAAATATGGTGGTGAAGAATAATGTCAAAAGTAATTATTCCTCTAAGACTAAACTCATCACTACCATCAAAATATAGGCATGTGAATGATAATTAAGACAAAAACTAGGGACTAGAAAAAAAAAAGGAATTTTTTTAAAAAAAATCCTTTTTTTCTTTGTGAATAAACTTGGCAATACACTTGTTATAGTTTTAAGTTTTAACCTACGTTGTTCCAATCTTAAAAAAAAATATTGTTCTATCAGTGTCGAATGAACAACTGACAGTATTTTTTTTAAAGAGTATGAACAACACGGATTTTAAGACTATAGTAGTGCTTTTTATTTTTCTTGGAGTGAATAGTATAGGCAGTTTTTGTAAGGCCATATGCTTACTAATAAGCTAAGATGGAGCTAACTTCGGTTCCGAGATATCGATCTCTTTCGAGTTTTCTATCGAGAGAAGATGAAATAACTGATACATAAGCTTCTTCCTCTTTGATGGTGTCCAATTTTTTAGAAATTGGACATGGTTTAGGTAAAGAGATAAATTTTTGTGGAGCAATTTCTGTTGAAAACCTTAACAATTTAAGAATATTGGCCATTATTGTAATGTTGGAGGGGAAAAGAAAATTGGTAGAATTTTATTTTTATTATATGATAAGAAGTTGGAAAAAGTTATGATAGGCCTTATCAACTTATTGTATTTATAGAAGAAAAAGTGATAACTATTTCCTTCGTTTCATTTTATGTATTATTATTTTTTTATTAATAGTTAGATTATAATATTTGTCATTTTATAAAAATTAAGGGATAATGCACAAGTACCCTCTCAACATATGCCTGAAATTTTAGAGACACACTTATATTATGCTAAGGTCCTATTACCCTCTGAACTTATTTTATTAATAATTTTTTATCCCTTTTCGGTCTACGTGGCACTATTTTGTGGGCCCAACGTTTGTTCACTTTTTTTAAGCTAGTGCCATGTAGGCCGAAAAGGGGTAGAAAATTACTTATAAAATAAGTCCAGGGGTAATAGGACCTTAGTATAGTATAAGTGTATTTATGGGATTTCGGGCATAGGTTGAGGGGATACTTGAGCATTTTTTCTAAAATTTATGCATAAATTATCATAATTTATTTATTATATTTTTGATAGAGTAGTTAATTAATCTTAAATGTATTCATCATTTATTATATAATCGACTTAAGAAAACATTAAATAAGGGTAGAAAGCGTAAAGTTACATCATTTTTTAATGTAAGTGTAAAGTAAAAAGATGACATATAAAATGAGACGGAAAAATTTATTACGGGATATGTGTGATTAATTAACTAACACGCGATCACACAAAAGTGTGCATCCGGTTTACATATGCCTAAAAATCTGTCAGTCCTTCTCTTTAATTTTCTAGCGTGCATAAACATTATTGTTTTAAAAAAATTACGCTCGCCAGTTTACATATGTCCAATAATCTCTCCGTCCTTCTCTTTGATTTTCTAATCGTACATAGGCATTAATTATTTTAAAATTACGTATCAAATTAAAATCAAATCAAAACGAAAAATATATTTTAAAAAATTATTTCCATCGTGTCCAATACGTTATTGTGTTTTAACATTACACACCAAAAATACACAGCCGTCCTCTACTTTTTTTGCATTAATTGAATGAAAATGTCTTGTTTGGCCAAAATTGACTAAACATGAAAAAGCCCTAGATAAGGGGACCAAAAATCAAATTATATATTTGAAATTAAAATTCATTGGTAATATTTTTTATCACGAAAAATATATTACAATTACTTAATTAAAGTTCAACAAGTTTATGATACGTATTATTATTCGTTTTGGTACAAAGATTTCATATATGGCATCAGCTTGACCTAAAAGTGTACAAAATATTCGCGATGAGATTTTTCTTACTATCATATATATACCGTGAAAGTCCGACGTTAATATCGTATATTTCTCACAACTCAAGTCATGTTAATGTGTATATTGTTTGCTTTGATCTAAAATGTGTATATTGTTTGCTTTGATCTAAAGATCGTCTAGCCTGCCGGTCTGCTCCGAAGAATTCATGATTTATATATGTTTTAGGCCGATAAGAGAGAATGCGGAATAAGGATTGATTCCCTAGATAAGGGGACCAAAAAGATGTGTTTTAAATTGATTGATCCAAACCAAAAGTGTTTTTTTTGAAAATAATGATAATTAAAATAAGCTAATTTTACAAGTTAAGTCAAATAGGCAATTAGTGATTATCTATAATAATTTTTCAATATAATGATCTGAGTTCCTTTATGTCATATAATATTATATATTTTCTATGGAAATATTTTGTTTAGAACTATTAACACGAATTAATATTATCGTTAAATATGTATTTTAGTGATAGCTGACATTTTTTGTATATGTTTCTAAAGCTTTTAACGATATTGGTTCTAACGACACTTAACTAATGCCGGTAAAGACTTTAGCACTCTTTATTAATATTAATATTTAATGCCGCTAAAAATTATTTTTATTATAATGTAAATAAATATATAAACAAACGATATCGTTATAACTTACCCTAGTACAGGAGGCCTTGGAATATGCTGGCTTCAAACCAATGCTAATTTCCACATAAGTGCCTTTAACTTCAAGCAATGAATGACTATTCTTCTGCCACGTTATTGACCAGTATATAAGGGCGAAGCTAGAAGTTCACATATAAATTTAATCGAATTTGATTTTTTATATTTGAATAATATATTTGCATTTAAAATTCATAGTAAGTGTTAAATATCATGTTTGAAATTCAATTACTTGAACTTGTTATTCTAAAATTTAAAACTTATAAAGTTAAAATTCTGATTCGGTATTTATCATGCTCATGTTTCATTATTTGTAATATGTGTTTCATTTGAAAAAAGGTATATGGACTTGACCTCTTTAAGAGGCAAACCTCTCTTTTAGCATTAATGACAATTCCAATGAGATTTGATGACGACAATACATGCCATACCTAGTGGCACAAGAAGTGACACTATGAGAAAATTAAGAGGTTGTTTGGTTCAAAGAATTAGATGGATTATTGCTATAAAAGTTTTGCGATTAAATTTAGGGTAAATGAAAAAAATCACATACTTTTTAGGTAAACTATCATTTGTCTCTTATAAGTTTTTAATTACAGAAATTCTTTAAAAATTTAAAAATGAATACAATTATATAAGTGTTGATACATTAATCAGATGCGCGAAATACATTAATCACTAAGTAAGACACATTACATTTTATACATGACACACGAATGTGATGTATATTTTATACATGATACACTAATCTGATGCGCGAGATACACTAATTTGATGCGTGAGATACACTAATCTGATACACGAAAATGAGAGATTTTGGAGATTTGTATAACTTATAAGGGATAATAGTAATAAGTAAAACAAAAGGTGGGATTTCTGTAATTTTTCCTTAAACTTATTTCATATCTGGTTGAAGATATTAACAAAAATCGTTAGATATAAACAAAAAAGTGGATTTGATTATTCAAGTTATAATCATTTTGAGATAACTTAATTTTGTATCGTAGTATTAAATCGTAAAAATATTAGTATATCATGTTTATGAGTTTTTCTTTGGTGAAAGTGATTTTTGGAGTAATTACGACTTTCAATATGAACCCTTTTGTTTTCATAGAATTTTTCTTTGTAAACTCGAGTCTTTATTATATTTATATTAATCAGAGATGGATAACAACTTGAAATGTATAATTCATCTAAATTCGATACTTTCGATTAGTGCAAAGTAAATTTATGTGTAAAAGATCTTATAAAATTACACAAATAGTATATATGAACCCTATGACATTTAAAATATAATGAGTTTAATGATTTACAAAAATCAAAAAATTAAACTTATAAAGCTTACGTCATGAATTCTTCTATGATAT